GAAACGCGAGCTAAAGTCTTCTATCGCAGCGTGCAGCAGCTCTAGATGCGTCGATGTGAAACGAAAGTCAAAGAGAGAAGACGCGGTACAGCTGAATCACTTGCGCTGTTTTCATCTGATGGTTTGTGTGGATTTATTTACTCATCTAACCTACACGCTATATTGAATAAAGGTTTTGCAGTAATTTCCCTAATTTTAAAGTCGAAAGCTGCGGGAATGAGTAATGCGATGTATGCTCAATCTCGCAACGAAATTCAGGATCTGATTAAACATGATTCTATTATACAGAGAATTGTGAAATTGATTTTCATGACTTTTCAAAAACTTTTTGAGTTTATTTATTTTTACAAAACTTTCTAGGCCTGGAAATTGCTGTTGAACCCTAATGTGATGATCGGGTGCGGGTCGGGTGCGGTTATCTAAATCAGACAAAAATACAGGTGCGGACAGTTGGCGGGTGGATCATTTATTTGAAGCTGCGGATTCGGGTGACGTTTTAGCTCATCCGCGCATCACTAATGCATACATATATTCATGTATATGGGGTTCCAGGACTGCCTAAAACAATTAAAACTTCAGTACTCGGTGAACAAGTGGTGTTCAAGTTTCATGGATATAAATGGGTTCAGTACTGTCCAAAAAAAAACAGACTAATAATCTGAAAACCGAAGCTTGTGCATTATAGGAAATACTATTTAGAGATTTTTACAGTTGGTTTGATAGCTTTATCTGAAAGAGTGTCAATTTAATGAATTTAAGTAGGTACAGTATATTAAAAATGGAAATATGGTTTCAGTACTTTATATAAAAACAATATTGGCATAATCTGAAAAACCAAGCCTTGTGAATTATAAGGAATAATATTCTGAATATTTTACAGTTGTTTTGATACCTTTATCTCAAATAGTGTTGTCGTTTAATGGATTTATATTATTGCATACATTAAAAGTTGTACAATTATTATAAAACACATAAAATGGTAATTGGTAAAAATTGTAAACGGAGCTTTGTGCAATAACAGGGATGTTTTTCCGAACATTTTAGAATTGGTTTCATATTATAATGTCACGTAGTTAAATTGTTTAATTAATTTAAATGGTTAATTTTTTTTACATTTTTTTTCCCTAGAAATTAAGCCTTGTGCAACGTAAAAGGCATATAGTTATGTCTGAGTTAGTTTGGGAACAAAACATAACAGCCGTAAAGAGTTTAATTGGCAAAAAAAAACTTGGCTAATGAATGTCAAACTAACTTTACCGCCGTTGCGACTCGCAGGGTCTAGTGAGTTGCACATGTAGCGGAGATAATCCACGTAACACGCCGCTATTGCACAGTTCGATTATGACACTTTTTACAGGGAATAAGAACCATGTATGTTTGAACAATGAGAGTCTGGGCCGCTTTCATAAGGACACGCGTGTCCTCCAGCCGCAGTGAGCTGGCTGCTATCTGTGAGGCCTGCTGGATCAGCCACAGCGCACTGATCAGACAACCGAAAGGCCCGCCGAGCAGCGCGCTAATCGCAGCCAAGCAGGTGCAAGTATTTCACCGTTGAACTGCACATGACAGCGCGTGAACCAGACCCACTGTCTAACTATATTGCAGAACGAAACCCTGTGCGGCTAAAACGTTGTATCCTATGATGTAAAGCTGGGCTAATCTACGATGCAAGGAGCAGCGTGAACTCATGCCGTCTTGAGTTATTATCAAGTTTTTGGATCTTGTCTTCGTGCCGCGTTGCAGCTTTTGGCGCGCATTTTCCTCGATAAATTGTTTAGTTTTTGCACCCAACGCCCAAAGAAAATGTGTTGTCGTCATTCTGAATTACTCGCAGAAACGAATGAGTGCAAATGTCCTGCAGATACATCGCAATTTACAATCACAACAGATGCTGTATCTAGCTTACTGTTTGCTTTGTTTAGGTGACAAAAAGCGTGAAATTGATGAAGGGCAATCTCGAGGGAGGAGGTTATTGCTACGCGGGATGACGCCCGTTGTTTGAATGGTTTAAGGAGCTAACGTTACTTACCTGGTTTACAGCCTTGTCCACGCTTTCGAGGCAACCCACCTAGTTAACGTTAATCCGATTGGATATCCCTTTCTCTTCTCTTCTCTTCTCTTCTCTTCTCGGATCTATCTGACTCTCTTGCTATCAGCTGCGCAATGCCGCTTGTGTTTATTCACTTAATTCACTTGACGCTGCTGTCATTACAGACGTTTCGTGTTCTCCTCTTTCTAGTGATGTTACGTTCGTGAACGAAACGTTCTCGTTCACGTTCACGTAATCCATTGACTCATATTTCTCGTTCACTGATATTCCTCCCTCCATAGCAGCACGGCGCTATTAGCAGCGCATGCGCAAATCTGTGAACTGTTTCATCCTGTCAAAGAATCCCCTTGTCCAAATACCCACACTTGTGGTCTTGGCCACTTGACAGCGCCTGCGCGCGACAGGAAGCAAGTGCGCAAGACTGTCCCAGGTCTTAAAAACGCCAAAGCGCAGTGCCCTTAACGCACACTAAATCCACACTATCTCGAATACCGCTCCGGAGC